TTGTAAACCACTTAATTTTCAATCGATTAGCTTGATAGTATCTTGCTTGGTAATAAATAGAATTCCTCTGATTTATATAAAATAAATAAATAAAAAAATATTTACTGTCGAAATTTCGTTTTGAAAAAAGAAAGCGGGCACATTTCTTCAAAAAACATATCTGTCAAAATCGTCAATCTTTACAAGGACACGTCGTCTTGTTTTTTTCTTCTTTGTTGAATGCATTGCTTCTTTATTTTTTATATCCACGGATGAAGTTAAAAACAGAAACTTGTAAACCCGGCTGCATCCCACATTGGGACGTCAGGATTTGATTCCAATTTAAATTTTATAACTGTTAAATATCATTTCTTTCTCAGCTTTTTTAAAACGCGATTTTTCTATAGCTTTTTACACTAAGTATAAACATTGAACCACTTTCGATCTCCATCGTTGTATTAAGAGTGTTCGCCTTACAATGAGGTTCGTATCCCAGCTGTGGCAGGTTGGTATGAATTTCGTTCCTGGCTCGCACTTATCTCAGTGCTGACATAATATGTCCTCAGTCGTTCACGGATCATGGGTTAAAATAACCTTACCGTCAGACTAACCGTGGGATGTTTTTGTTGCTTCCCTTTCCATGTGTTAATAATAATTTTGCTATCAAGATTTATAACACCAGATGGCGCTGAGCGCAAATAATTTATTATTATTTTTTCTGCACCTTCCTCAGTTTCAGTTTTACATTTACCACTGAACCACGATTAAATTAGCCTAATTCATTAATTTTGAGTGATTATTGTTGAATTTGAGTTATGGTGCATCAACGGCCGAAAAATAGGCCATCTGCATGAAAGCGAGTAAGTTAACATTTGTTTTGTTTTGGTCACCGTAAAGTCCGTAATAATTTGTTTTGAAATTTGCATTTATTATTACAGTAACGTGAGAGCTATTTATTTTTATAATGGATGATTTTGAGAAATTAAAATCGAAACGAGCTGTAATCAGACAGTTAATTACGAAATTGATAAATAAGATTGACAAATTGTTATTAGAAACACTTCCTGATTATGATACTTTGTATGATTCACTAGATCAGTTAGTTGAAGAAAATGAAACTTTAAAGCAGGGGTGTCAAACTCGCGGCCCAAGATCAACATTTTTGCGGTCCGCGAAAAAGTAAAATTCTAATTGGCTTGCGGCACTTGCCATTCCAGGGAAATTGCATCGTATCAAAAATACGCAGAAAAAATTTCTAATCTTAGAACAGAATTTGAAACAAGGTTTAAAGATTTTAATTTTTTAGAATAAAAATTTTGTTTGTTTTCTTCGATTTTCAAAGTTAGCTTTTGAGTTTGACACCCCTGCTTTAAAGGCTCTTGATTTGAAAATTATTTTGAAAAGAGCGATGAATTTGAGAGTGAAATTATGCAAAGTCAAGAGTATCAAGATCGAGTAGTGGCTTATAAAGGCAAAATTGAAAGATGAGAAATAATCTCACTGAAATGCCAGACTACAAGACAGGAAGTAACGGCTAATAGTGGTAACAATAATTTACAAGAAAATATAACTTATAGAAATATCTCGCACGTTGCTAACGTTTAATTACCTAAATTGGAGATAAACAAATTTTTTGGTGATGCCTGTGAGTGGCACAGTTTCTGGAATAGCTATAACATAGCTATACAAAGTAATGAGAGTCTTAAAAAAATTGATAAATTTAATTATCTTAAGATGTATTTAGGGGGAGTTGCCTTGAGTGCAATTTCTGGATTCTCATTAACTGAAAGTAATTATGATTCTTCTATTAAGTTGCTAACCAAAAGATTTGGTAGGAAAGATCTAATTATTAGTAGTCATATGAATAAACTTTTATCAATTAATTCTGTAAGAAATTCCTATGATATTAAAGCTCTACGTAAGTTCTATGACGAATGTGAAATCCACATTCGCAGTTTGCAATCAATGAATGTAACAAAAGGTAGTTATGGTAATTTACTCTGTCCTGTTATTTTACAAAAGTTACCAGAGGATTTAAATTTAGATTATAATAAAAATAGAAAAATCGAGTGTAGATTTTGACATTGATGAACTAATTTCATTTATTAGAAAAGAGGTAGAATGTTGAGAAGCCTCACATGTGTTGTTTAATAGTTCAAAAAAACTAAGTGTTCATTTCGAAACACAGCAACGGTCGGAGAGCCATAGTAAACATAATTATAATCGAAAGTTCTCATCTTCCTCGTCATTAGTTTCGGCATCTAACAACATATTTTGTTTGTTTTGTAATTCCAAAAATCACGAATCGAAAGATTTTTTTTTTCATCGATGGTCAGAGAACAAACAAATGCTAAAAGATCAATTTCGCTGTTTCCGGTGCTTAAAGAAATATCACACATCCAAAAAATGTTGGAATAAATGTGTTTGCACATTATGTAAGAAACCGCATAGCGAATTAATTTGTGATAATGAGTCGAAAGAGAAAAACAATACTTTGGCATCCGTTACCGCTTCATGCGTTTCGAAACGTAAACAAAATGAAATGATCTATTTACAGACTTCTTTAGCGTATTTGATTTATGGTATTGTAAAGAAGTTGGTTAGAATTTTATTTGATTCTGGTAGCCATCGCAGTTTTTGGAGACGTGATATTTGTAATCAGCTGAACCTCAGGACCATTAAAACTGAACGGTTGCATGTTTTCGGTTTTGGAGAAAAAATTTCCAAGGGATGTTCTTACGATTTAGTGAATCTTCAAAACAAAAACGATAAAAAATTAAATGTTTGCATTGAAGCATTTGTAGTAGAAAAGATAACGTGTGGGGAAAATAGCCGCACCTCATGAGAGAATTAAACAATTAGCAGGGAAAAATAATATTTTTCTTTCGGATACCGGAGAAATAGCTGATATTGACATTTTAATCGGCGCCGATTTCCTACATGACGTAATCTTTGATACGTTTTTGAGGTTGGGAAAAGGACTCGTTGCAACCGATAGTTTATTTGGTTTTGTGGTTCAAGGGAGATTCATAAATAATTGCCAATTAAGTAGGATTGTAAATAATACTATAATATCTGATGTTGATTATTATTTGTTTTGGAACCTTGAAGGACTAGGAATAAATACTATGAACGAAGAAAATGTTGATAATAAAAGTGAATTGTTAAAAGGTTTTAATTCTGATTTGCATTTTGAAAATGATAGGTATAATGTACGACTTCTCTGGAGATCTAATACAAAACATTTGTTAAATGATAACTTTGAGCTGGCTTCAGAGAGGTTTGACAAATTAAAAAGGAGATTTAAAAATGATAAATCCTTGTTTGAAGAACATAAACAAGTTATAAAAACTTACGAAAATGAAGGGATAATTGAGAAAGTTAAAAACACTGATCCCCAAACTCATAAACAATGTTATTTACCTCATAGGGCAGTTATAAGAAACGATAAACTAACTAGCAAATTAAGGATAGTATCCGCGTATAAAAAAATGAATAGTTCCTTAACGACTGTTTGTATATTGGGCCAAATTTATACCCTGATATATATGAACTTATGCTAGCGTTTCGGGAAAACAAGATTGCTTTTATAGGGGACGTTCGGCAAGCTTTCTTACAAATAGGGATTAATGCAGAAGATCGAGATGTCACAAGATTTCTTTGGTCAGATGACCCCGATGATGATTCGTCTACAGTAGTTTATAGATTTTGCCGCGTACTATTTGGTATCAACTGTAGCCCTTTTCTCTTAGCGGCAACTATTAAAGAGCATATTAAAAAGTTTGCAAAATCAAAGCCTCTTGCCTATGAATTTCTAAATGAAAGGGTATATGTCGATGACGTAATAGGGGGGAGTGACAGTACAGATACAGCATTTCAAATGAGTTCGGATTGTGTTGAAATATTTCGGGATGCGGGCACGGTATTGAGAAAATTTCAAACAAATGATAAAAAATTACGTGAATTATGGAAGAATGCAGGTATAGATGCTCAGAATGAAAAGGAATCGTTAGGTCAATCGGGCTTTCCATTTAAAGTTTTGGGAGTCTGTTAGGATCCTAAAAGAGATGTATTTTACTTTGAGTCAGAATATCTGTTAAAATTGATAGACACAGGGCAAATAACAAAACGATTTATTTTGAAAATCATTGGGCGTATTTTTGATCCAGTAGGATTTTTGGGACCCTTTACAATGCTCCTAAAATCTCTAGTTCAAAACATTTTGAAAAGCGGATTGGAGTGGGACCAAGACCTACCCTTAGATATGGAAAGTCAATGGCGCGATATATGTAAACAATTCGGTGAACTTAATGATTTGAAAATACCGCGTTATTATTTTTTCGAAGCCGGTAACAAAGTAATTATAAGTTCACAGTTACATATCTTCTCTGACGCCAGCTTAAAGGGTTATGGTACAGTTGCATTTATCAGATCAGAAACTAGTGATGGGCATATTTCTACATGTTTTGTTTCAGCTAAAAGTAGAATTGCGTCCCTCAAAATGATTACATTACCAAGACTTGAGCTACTAGGTGCCCTCCTCTCTGCTAGATTATTTCGAACTATTACTAGAGCCATAAAAATTCCGTGTGACAGTTTCTTTTGGTGCGATTCCTCTATTGTGTGTTGTTGGATAAAAACTCCTGCCATTCGTTTTAAACAATTTGTGCGTAACCGATTGGAAGAAATTCAAGAGATTACTCAACCTAAGGACTGGTTCCACTGCCCCGGAATTGACAATCCTGCCGATCTTATTAGTAGAGGTGCTTCCATGAGTATATTAAAGAATTCCGACATTTGGTGGAAGGGGCCATCTTGGTTGTCCCTTCCGACCGAAATGTGGCCAGAATTCAAAGAAAATGATGAACAAATTGAGTATTGTAAAAAAGAAGTCACCGTTATGAAATGTGTAGATTGGGAAGAACTTGAGTTGATAAATATCGCTAACTTTAGCAGCCTCGAAAAAGTTGTTAGAATCATGGCGTGTGTAAAGCGATATTTGAACTGTTTAAAGAAAGTTAAGCCGAATATGGACACTTTGACTGCAGAAGAGCTTCGAAATGCTGAAGATATTCTAGTAAAGCTTACTCAAGCAAAATTCTTTGAAAGTGAGATACGAGCTCTCCAATCTAGTTTGTCTATTCCAGCTTCTTCTACTATTTTCAATTTAGCTCCTTATCTTAATGAAAAAGGTATCCTGAGAATCACAGGAAGATTGGATGAAGGAGATTATTCTTTTGATGAGAAAAAGCCTATAATCATACCAAAACAGTCTAAATTTGCAGAGTTGCTTGTCAAGCGAGAACACGAAAATGTATTTCATTCTGGAGTAGAAAGCACTCTAGTACAAATTCGGAGAAGATTTTGGGTACCTAAAAGAAGACAATTAGTGAAAAAGGTTGTCTCGAAATGTTTCATTTGTCGCAGATACACAGCCAAACCTTCTGCCCAAATGACTGGACTGCTTCCAAAAGATCGAATTAGTGAAACTCCTACTTTTACTGTATGCGGAATTGATTTTGAATAAAGAAATCATATATAGCCTTGTTCACATGCGCAGTCATGAGAGCAATACATCTTGAATTAGTCACAGACATGTCTACTTCGACTTTTCTGCTCGCATTCAGAAGATTTCTCTCTAGAAGAGGTAGTTGTCATGCAATCTACTCCGACAACGCCAAGACTTTTAAATGTACTGACAAAGAGCTTCAGAGATTATTTGATATTTCGGAAAATTTCGAATTCAAAAACTTTCTTGCTGCTAAAAGAATATCCTGGAAATTCATCGTCCAACTTGCCCCTTGGTGGGGAGGATTTATGAAAGATTGGTAAAAAGTGTCAAAGAGCCTCTAAAGAAAATACTTCGAAACGCTCTTTTAAATTTTGAAGAGATGACCACTATATTGACTGAAATATAAACCATCGTTAATCTTCAACCCTTGTCCTACGTCACTAACGAAATTGGAGGACCGGAAATTCTTACCCCATCACAGTTTTTAACCCCTGGTAAAGAAAAGGCAGAATATCCAGCCCATTTCATAGAAACCATCCATAGAGAATCCACCAAAGATATTCTTATAAAAAGAAAAGAATACCAAGCTACATTATTGGCTAATTTATGGAAGCACTGGAAGGAGCGCTATTTGTTTAATTTGAGATCTGCACGCAACTTAACTTCTCCTAACTTAACAAAATGTTTGAAAGTGGGAGATGTGGTTATGATGGAAGGCACCACAAAACCAAAACTATTATGGGACATAGGTATTATAACAAAAGTATTTCAAGGGCGTGATGGACTTGTAAGATCTTGCCTTATTCTCGAATCCAACGGCGAATGTAAACGCCCAGTACAACTTATTTATCCTTTAGAACTCAATGACTGAAATGAACAATGATAAACTTTAATAGTTTATATATTTTTTTTTTTTACTTCTTTCAAGTGAATATTTACATTGCATTTCAAAATTATTTGCATTTAAATGTTATTTTTTATAATTGTCTTATTTTTATGTTTAAAATTTTAGTGAACTCGGAGGAGTTCAAGTGGGAGGTGTTAATAATAATTTTGCTATCAAGATTTATAACACCAGATGGCGCTGAGTGCAAACAATTTATTATTATTTTTTCTGCACTTCCTCAGTTTCAGTTTTACATTTACCACTGAACCACGATGCTTGAATAAAATTATCCTAATCCATTAATTTTGAGTGATTATTGTTGAATTTGAGTTACCATGTAACGCAAATGCATAGGTTCATCGACAAGTCCTCCACGAAGGCTAGTTTGTTCCAATACTTGATCCCGAAGTTCTCTTGTCTTCTGGATTAGGTTCAAAATTACAGAACTACGGAGTTAAATATTGATAGTCGCAACTGCAGAATTGAGTCGGCTTTTCAACGCCGGTTATAAAATAAAATGAGCAATATAACAAATATCCGCCGTCTGTTTAGCGCCACGCTAAACAAGTGATTCACGTACATTTTTATTTGCATTTGCTCTATCTTTTTCGTTAAACGACGTTATGTAAGATTGATTGCGAAAAACACTTGATTCCGACCTTTAACGGATTACCCCAATTAATCTGCAGATTAATAGCGAGCTTTAGCGGTAACTCTTTAGGTTTGTGGGGATTTTGATAATCGACTATGTCAACCTTCATCTATCAAAAGGTACCTTTTGATAGAATCAAGTTAACATGTCTTATATACTAGTGATTTGGTATTTAATATTTGTAGTGGTAGTTACGCCACAGGTTTATATAATTTTGTAGTCAGAGAACTACTCAGAGAACAAAACATACATTTTAATTTGCTTATTTAAAGAGAAGTGTGGTGTTACTCTTACTAAATTTTAGGTAGCGTTAGCAATCCTATATCTAACGTAATTTGACAGTTTCAATATTCGGTTGGTTAAAAGCAGAAATTTATCAAAAAGACGCAAAATTTTTTTCTCTTAAATTGATGGAGAGGAACGGATTATCGCTTTTATGAGGTTCTGGTAGTTAATGGATGTTTTTAGTTGATGAAAAAAAATACTCAAAATATGCATCTAAGATTTTATGAATTTGCATAATAAATGTCATCTCATTTGCTTTAAATGAAGCCTTGAAATTGTAACGAGACTTTGCGCACACTATGTAAAACACTTCAAGTAATAAATATTCAATTTACGATATCTAATTTAAATTCAACTTATGTAATCGTGTTTGCGAACATTCTAAGAAGAGTGTGAAATACAGACATCATGTAAACACCATTTTCGTGAAGTGACCTTTTTTTAAAAATATGAATATGTCTAATTTTCCAGTCATCTGTTTTGCTTTCAGTCTGATTAGCCAACGACGGTTTACTTATTGAGTTCCTTCTTTAGATTCTACTCCTGTGAGTTCTGCGAGTTACTCAACTACTGATTTGCAAAGTGAGGGTTCCTTCGGCTCTCATCAATTGAAAGATATGCTGACACCACAAGGAGGCAATGAGGTTTGCAAACTTACACATATTTAGTGCATTTTATTTAACTAATTCATACAGCTAAGTAGTTTGAAATGCTTATTGGGCAGGCGATATAAATCAGCATAGTTATTTAGTTCGGCGGTTGCTTTTTCGGCAATGGAAACTTAAATAATTAATCTTCTTTCGGCGGAAACCCAACATTATAGATAATACAATGACAATAAATACATTTGGAGTCGTGGTAGCTCAAGGGTTAGAGCACTCGCTTTCCAATGAGATGAAAGTTTTAATCCCAGGGATGGCTGGTTGATACAAATTCCGCACCTGGTTCGCACTCGGAAAATGCTGGGTTAGACACCCCTTATCTTCAAGCTAGCCGTGGGAGGTTTTCGTGGTTTTCTTCCCTACGTAGCACAAATTCGGATTAGTTCCATCAACAAAGTCTTCCACGAAGGCAAATTTCTCCCAATACTTGATTCAAGAATTCCCTTGTCTTCTGGATTGGTTACAAGGCTACGGTGTTGAACATTAGTAGTCATAAACCCAAAAATTTGGTCGGCTCTTCAACGACGGTTGTAAAATAAAATAAAAAATACAATTGCTAATGTATTTACAAATAAAAGATTTAATTTTAAAAACATTCAATAAGAGGAATGAGAAATAATCTTAAGTTACTTTTTATGTCCGAACCGTTAAATTCGAAGTCGAGATGCATCTAGTCTAGTTATAAATTTGTTTTTGGTGTAAGTTTGGTGTAATGGTGTAGTATAAATAAAAAAAAAGCAAAATTACGTTTTTTTTCTTCTCTTTTTAATCAAAACGAAAAAGAACTGCTGTAATCGTCAGAAATCTTTCCCGTGGAAATATTATTCTATATTAACAAATTTGGTTATTTTCATTTTCATTTGAAAAGCGCGATGAGAATAATACTAAAATTTTTTATGTATGCATGATCTTTTCCTAATTTATTCAATGTATTATTCTTTGAAAAATTGTGTGTATTTAAAAAATTATCAATTCCATTTTAATTGGCAATTTACTTTAAATAATTTCACAAGAGAAAACAAAATATGAAATAAATAATGGATTGCTAATTGGATCCAACTATAATTAAAAGTTTCAAAAGTTGTTGGTTAAGACAAATGATCGAAAACCCTTTAATTCTTCCACATAACACTAGAGTTCCATGGAACCCCATTTAGGAAATACTGATCTAGTTTATCAAGGGAAGAAATTATTTTAATATGTAGTATGAGGAAAACGTGCTTTTACGTTCTTTTGTGATCTTTAACATGAGCTTGAGTAACGTGAAAGTGCGATGATTTAAAAAACCAATCAAAGCGCGAAATAGAATTGCTACGCTTTTTAGTGTTCTGCTTAGAAAATAAATGATTTATTCTAATTGATAACATTGATAAAAATATGAATGCCCTAGGCCTAATAGTTTACATGTAGTAGCTCTTTTATTTAAAGCCCTTGACACGCAGATCCAGGTAATAATAACTAGGTAATCTAGGGTTATAGTTTTATTGATCTTAGAAAAATCTAATATATCCTACTTTTTTTTTTTTTTTCAAAATGGCGTAAAACTCGTTACCGAATTTTCGGGTGTTTTAATTTTTGGTCACTTGATATTTCATAAGCAAATCCCAATGTGTCAAGGTTGTTATTTTGAATGCATGCGTTTGGTAAATGTTGCACTTAATTTGACTACACTGCACATGCAACAAAATTTACGTTTGAATTTATTTTGTAAGATTTTGTAACTACTTGAAGTAATTTTATCCCAAATTTAATTCTTATTTCTAACTTGACATTTTTTAAGTGTTATTTTTGGATAATTTTGCTTTTTCCTTTTTGCATTTCAAAAAGATTGAATAAAAGATGTTTTTGCTTCTTACATAAGCGTTGTACATATCCCTCGCCTTCATGTACTTTCATAACATTTGAAAGTAGTTAAATCTCAAGTTTTTTTAAGATTTGGATTTTCTGTCTTTTAACTAGTTTATGGAAATGAGTTATAATGAAATTTGACAAATAAAAGTAAGTCTTATAAACATTACAAAGGAGAGAATCAAGCATTTTGAATGTATTTTTCCCGAATATTTCACTATTAAGCTTGCATGTTATTTACCAGTGCTCCCTGATTTTCAAAATGACGTTCGTTTTAATTAGACTCTTCAAAGCGGCTGGTTTTACTAACCAATATATCAATAATTAGAGAAAAAGGTAGTTTCAAAGTTTAATTTTACAAATACACTAAGAGATACTTACGAATACTAAGAAATTTAATTTTATTAATGCACACACTTCATTTGTTATTTACACTTGACATTTTTTTAACATTCACAGTAGAATTTGAAAATGTTAGCAGAATTCGATTAGAAGAATTTCGATATATTGTTCGATTAGCAGAAACTTAAATTTCAAATTAAGCATGGTTCGAAAGTTTACAAAAGTTTTTATAACTTACAGTATTGCATGGAATGTCAAAGATAAGTTCGAATACATTTCGAATTAATCATCGATATTCAAATCTTTCCGTTCAAGCATGCAGTCACTCCCAAATTGAAATTAAACCGTACCCTCAATTACTAGATCATACTAACATCGTTCTGGAACATAAAAAGAATCTAATTCAAAATACAGAATCGTAAACAGAAACTAATTTATCGATATGCTGGCTCAACTTTTCTATTTTTAATGAAATAATTAACTGAATAGATAGCTTTTTTTTCTGAAATGGCTTTTATCTCACTGAGGCTTTCATTCGTTAATTTACTTTTGAATTCTTATTCAATTCTTCAGTAGTTACTTCATTTTTTTAACTCCGTGGGTTAATGAATAAGTAATGATCATTGACATTGAATGATGATGAAGCATTCAATAACTTTTCTTACTTCATAAGCAGCTTTCTTTTGAATTCTTTTACAACTTTCCTCACTGTTTCCTTTTCAGCTCTAACACTGCAATTTCAACCCCCAAAAATAATTTATGCTTATAACTTTGCTTCTTCTATTCATGAATGGCAAACTGGAGTTTATTATCTATATGTTAAATTTCTTTCAGAACTTTGGAAGAAAGAAAATTCAAAATTTTAGAAGAAAAAAAAATATTTTTTTTCCTTCTCATTTTGAAACATTTTTCTCATTTTGATTTTGATTTTATAAAACGATGGTAACGATTTTATTAAAGTACGGTATGTTTTGATGTAGCAACGATTCTGTTCTTACAGATTTGACTTTTGAAAAAAAATGTCTAATTTTATAATCCAGTAATTTTATTAGTGGCAGTTACTATATTCTGTAAATTTGTAAAAGAATTCCCCCAACGGGATCACATGATACACTAGTATCTTTTTTCCCTGATAGCAACAACATTATAATGTATTATTTCTCAATGTCTCAAAATACCAATAATCACATTACCTAGAAATATTCCATAAATGAATAATTTGCAAGAACACGTGTTAGATTGCATTTTGGTGAACTTGAGAAAAATCAGTCTTAAAATGTATACAAACGTAAGGAGATTGTTTATAGTGCATCACTTTTCCACTGACTTCTATTTATTTAATAGAATGAATCAATATTTTACTAGTACAGTAGCTTAGAACATGTAATTATTAGTTATTTAAATGTCCTTAAATGTATTCATCTATCTTCAAGTTTAGAATAACAAAGTCAAATAATTAAGCTGATGCTGTTGTTAGCTAAAACTGGAGAATGAATATTAAGAGCTTATTCCCTGTGGAGTCGTTTTATTCAATATTTCAAAATTCATTTAAAACGCGTCGTGATTTTCAAACGCTACCTTGAAACTATTCACGAAAGTTTTATTTCCATCCTCAAATTTCCATGGTTACAGCTGCTCTTAAAAACGAAATAAAGGTTTTGTGAATTGATTAAAAGAATAGTTGTTGCCTACTGAAACACTGTGTGATTCAAGCACGAAAGAAGGGAAATACAGTTACGAGTAAAGAAATAAATCAGGTTATTACACTAGGGAACAAATTTGTATTGTATTAATACAAACACTTGATCTTAAGATAAAGTGTGGGGATTTCTAAGGAGCCTAGACTCTCTAGGGATTTCAAATTAATTTTGCTCATAAGGCTGCAGATTTTTTTTAAAAATCGTATTACAGTGATACGAAAGTATCAAAAATTTATTAAAAAATCTCAGTAGCAGAAAACAAAAGGAATAAATAAATGAAAATCTTACCTGTGTTATTAATAGCAAACGATGATCATTATTAAAAATCATTTATTTTAATAAATATGATAAATAATGTATATAAAATTGACGATGATCATTATTAAAAATCATTTATTTTAATAAATATGATAAATAATGTATATAACAGGGGGGGGCAACCTGCGGCTCGCAAGCCACATGCGACTCTTTGAAGGATTATTTGCGGCTCTCGACAAATGTACCCAAGTTCCCTTTTCATTTTTGTGCTATTATATTTTAAAAAATTATCATCATTCCGTATGTGTTTCAAAATGTCTTTTAAATTACTGACAACATATATGAAAAACGAAGTGCAACCTTGTAACAAATTTCATTTCCGTCCATGTTAAGAATGATATGACTCACAGAAAACTGCTCGAACGAACATAAACAGTGGCGTAGTCGTCCGACTCCAGATCGATTTTGAATTTGTAAACTTTAATTACAACGGACAGTTGGCATTATACTCTGGAGGAAACAATTTGTAATCTGGAATTTTTAGTAAGTTAACTAAATTTGTTTCGTAATATGTAACAGTTGTTGTTATTGTTTTAATAACACAAAACTTGAATTTTCTAAATTTCTTTATCTTGGTTCAGTCTGCGTAGGGACCGAGGGTGCGCGGTATTGGTCCTCGTTAAACTGTTCTACCGTAAAGTGCTCGACTTCGCGTGCAGGTCGTCGAGCTACCGAAGAGGGGGTGCCATCCCATCTGCAGAGGATTAAAATTGTGATGGCATATCTTCGGATCATCCTCCGGGATGTTTCCCAGACCGTCGCCCATAGCCCATTGTGCAGCTCTAGTGTGACGTAAATGAACTATAATAGAACTATAATAACTGAAATGATAATAATAAAAAATAGTGTTTTAAAAGCGTTTTTTTTTTCTAAAATTTATTTATCACTTTGTTTTAAACATACAAATAATTGTAAACGTTTCATTTAGAAATTGAACATTACGATCGAACTTAATAATTAAGTAATTATTTATGCATAATAGTACAAGAAAATATTAATTTGTAAAAAACGCTTTAAAAAAGTTTTTAACACTTTGTTTTACGCGTATTATGAATTTCTAAACAAACATTTCAATAAATATTTTAAGTAAGATTTGTACATTGTAGTCAATTTATTTAATATCTTTATTAAGCAAAACATATATATCTTCAAATTTATAAATTGATTTAAATCAATCTGAGTATGAAGTTTTGATAGAAATCTGACTTTCTGCGCCTTACAAGCTCGGAAGTGCCTTACAAGTTTTACATCGCTATACCGCGATGCAAAACTGACGATGCATCACGATATATAATCTGCCACACCCTTACGTCCCACACGTTTATAGGGAGGTCCCATTCATTCATCCATTCATTCATCCACAGATTGCAATGAAGGCCGGGATAGTCTGGTCGGTTAGGCGCTGGGCCTATGTTCAACAGTTCGTGGGTTCGAACCCCGCCGGCCGAAGACCGTGTGGTAAAGTGACTGATGCACGTTAAATCTGTCGAGTCGCAAAAGTCCCCCATGTTCCCATTACAAATCAATACCTCTGGGGGGTACTGAATTGGAGATACGATCATTCTCTGATTCAGGTCAAAATTACGATCTGTGGATGATTGAATGGATGTATGAATGGGTTCGCCCTATAAACGGGTGCGACGTATGGTGTGACAGAAGTCGAATTCTTGGCCATAGATCGCGCTACTGGAAAACAAAAGAACAATCGCACCCCTCTGCCTAAACAGGCATACGTCAACAACAACAGATTGCAATTTTGACCTGAACCAGAGAACGATCCATCTCCAATTCAGTACCCCCAGAGGTATAATGTGTTATGGGAACATGGAGGACTTTGTGACCCAGCAGATTTAACGTGCATCAGTCACCATTTACTACACGGAGACTCTTCGGCCGACTGGATTGCGTAAAGTCATCAGTAATTAAACTAAGAAAAAATTAAGTTACACATTTAAATAATACGCAGCTTTTTCTTTTTCTCGAAAGGCAGTGCATGCGCCGGTCAGAATGAGAAAGAAATGTTAATGCTCTACTCCCAGCACTGGCACAGTACTAAAATTTATTTACGAGTTTCAGAATTTTTCTTTCTCGTCGTTGGCTTAGATTAAAAATGTTAAGAATCAATGAAATTAGATAGGCATAAACACTTTTGTTTGTATTTCAGTTGTGGTTGAGACTTGTGCTGGCCTCCTCTTTCGTGGTCTTTTCCCTTCTCATTGGAGCTGGGATTTTCTTGTGGAGAAGGCGGAGACGAAGAAGGAATTCTTTAAGAAAAACTATGCAACAATACATCACCAATCCCAATTACTATTCCACCTCCATTAAAAACATTGAGATATCACCAGAGAACGTAACACTTGTTGAAGAAATCGGCGAGGGATTTTTCAGCAAAGTATACAAAGGTATTCAATTGTTTCTTTGCTACTCAATTCAATCGGAAAATTCGTCTGTTCACCATTCGATCTGCTCACCAAGCTTCCAGTTATATTCTAAAATCACTTGGCAGACGTTTTTTTCCACTATTATAAAAAATCCTCACGTTAACAAACAGCTAAACTTAAAATTTAACAAAAAATGTATTGTTTTGATATGCCCCTTTTCTGCATCGCGGCTTGCAAATATTTTAAAAAAACAAAACAAAATCTCAAATTTTAATGCCGCTTCTTATGCAAATTATACAGTGTCATTCAAAATTCCCAAGCGTTTTTAGAACGCTTCTTCTAGGTGAAAGCCAAAAAGTGAAATTTAAATATTCAGATTTTTGTCCGATTTATAAAGTATGTTAGTTGATTCTTTACAATTATATACACCGAAGAGCCATTGCATTATGACCATCCTGCTAATAACATGTAGGACCACCTTTAGCCCTCAAAACTGCTAGCACCCGCCGTGGCATTGATTCCACAAGGTGCTGATAGGTAGTCTGAGGTATCTGGTACCAAGCACTCGCCAACTGGTCCTGCAATTCCCTCACATTGTGAGGCGGTAGCGTGGCAGCACGAATTTGGTTTTCCAAGTAGGACCACAAATGCTCTATTGAATTAAGGTCAGGTGAAATTGGGGGCCAAGACATGACTTGAAAGTCACTGGAATGTTCCTCGAACCAGTCCATGACAATTCGACCCTTATGACATAGTGCATTATCCTGTTATTAAACACCATCCTCCGCAGGAAAAACTGTGGCCATGAAGGGGTGAACCTGGTCTGCAACTATGTTCAAGTAGCTTACAGACGTCAGGGATTGTTCTATGAGGATTATGGGTCCTAATGTGCCCCATGAAAACATTGTTCCTGGGAAAGAAACTATGAAAACCTGGGTGAGCCCATTGTTATAGATGGAGGGTGGTCATAATGTAATGGCTCTTCGGTATACATCGTTTTACATAATTAAAATATAAAAGACTTGACTTGAGCTGTTATTGCCTCTAGTGATTGGGAAAATGCAACCTCGATTCAAAGTTCACTGGGGTTAATTTTCATCATAAATGCTTGTGCATCAATGTATTCTTTCAAAGAATAGATTAGTTTTTGAGTTGAATCAATGAGCGTATGTATGTAAGTGACATTTTAGCCAATTGTAGTAAATAAGCTTTCAATTTTAAACGTTGCTCACTGTCTGTTGAGAGAAAAAAAGAGATAATGCTTCAATTTTATTTCCCTCCCTGGTTTTCTATTAACGAAATCTATATTTAATTCCCCACACTTATTTTGTACTGTTTGGGTAATTAGCCTTTTAATATTCTGTTTAAAGACAGGTTTTCTAAGATGGCCGTCGACCGTTTGCCGCCAAATTCTCTTGAAAATAAATTAAAAATAAATACACATTTTTATAGATTCATAAAAATGTAAACATTTCCCTATCAAATAGTTTGTTTAATTCCTTCTGAGGTTCATTAATATAACATTATTCACATATATAGACTTACTTAGACATTTGATATCGACCTGAATTTCTGAATACAAATTAAATTCCAATTGTTCTTAATCACAATAAAAATGAAACTAAGAGTTCATACTGCCTTAAAATATAAGTTAAGTTAATATAAGTTAAGTTAATATTTGCAATAAACATGGAGGTTTTTGTACTCTGAATTGATCATTGATTTTTCAATAGTTGTTGTAGTTGTAGTTCATTTACGTCGCACTAGAGCTGCACAATGGGCTATTGGCGACGGTCTGGGAAACATCCCTGAATATGATTCGAAGACATGCCATCAAAATTTTGATCCTCTGCAGAGGGAATGGCACCCTCGCTTCGGTAGCCCGACGACCTGCACGCGAAGTCGAGCACTTTACGGTGGCACAGTTTAACGAGAACCAATACTGCACACCCTCGGTCCCTACTCAGGTTGATCCAAGTGGTCACCGACCCGCACACTGACTGCAGTCAGTGATGCTTGACTTCAGTGATCTGCTGGGAACCGTGTCTTAACGATCAGCCCACTGAGGGGATTTTTCAATAAGAAAATAAATAAAACTTACTTTAAGTTCCCAATACATTTAAATCAGTAATTGCTATTAATCTAATATATTGCAGAGCAATAGGGAGGGTTATATTTTAAATAAGATACATAACATGAAGAATAAAAAAGAAAAAGAAGCTTAGATTTCACGAGCAAGTTGAATTTAGACGGCAACTTCGGGTTAATTCAGTATCAAAATTCTAATAAAATTGTATTATCTAAATTGAAATAAACGCTTCCACTTTAGGATCTGAGTGTTTCACTACACTAAAAATGTTCTTCTACACAATTGCAAAGTAAAATCTACGCTGTAATACCGTTCCGATTTTGAAGTTGAAAAACACTAAAACCTGTACGTTATTTTTAGTTTGTTTTAAAATTAAGAATGATTTTTGTTTCAGTTTCTAAGTAACTTTTTCTTCTTTTTTTAAAATTTCTTTTGTTTTTACTGAGGTTTTTATTATGACGTGGAAATTAAAATGCTTTCTCTGACACTCGAATTCCTTTTTTTTTTTTTTTTTTTTTTTTTTTTTTTNTTTTTTTTTTTTTTTTTTTCCTTCCTGAAAATGCGGAAAATTGGAAAAGCGAGATGCTTAGCTTTAAACTTTTCTTTCAAAAATGAAGATCGCTTTTTATTTTTTTTTCTGTTTCGCTTTTGTACATAATCTTTTTTTGTAGAAGTTTTTATGATAGCTCGCGGCATTTTTTAAAGGTGTTTCTGATAGACTAAATCTCTGTAAGGGTTTTATAGATGCTTTTTCCCGGAAAAAATAGTTTTTACCTTTGAAGTTTTATTTGAAGAGGATATATATGTATTTTTTATATTCCTCTATTCTTTTTTTCAACTTAACAATTTTTTCATTATCTTTTCGCCAGTGTTTTATTTATCTTAATTATTTTTATTACCTGAAATATTTCTGTAATAAATTTTTTTTCTCTCTTTACCCCTACCACTAATAAAGCTAAGTTTTGATTATTTTTCAATAATGATTAAACTTATTCATATATAAAAAATATTTATCAATGTTTATTACTTTTTTAATTTATTAATACTTATTGCTTTTTTAATTTATTAATATTTAGTACTTTTCGGCCTATTATTATTTTTAATTTTACTTTTTTTGGTTTCCTAATATTTGGTATTTGGCTAAATATTCAACCTGTATATTCGAAAAATCACTATCTGTTGCATCCTTAATCACAATAGCAATAGTGTCTATTTATCTCGATAAATCATGCATCACTAAAAAATGTGATGATTATCATCCTTTATTTGGTGATTTAGTAAACCGTCACAAATTGAAGAGACAGATATATTATTTAAATCTCCCGTTGCAGGTTTCTATAACACAGGCTCTGGAGAAACTGTGGCAGTTGCGGTGAAAACGCTGAAAGAGGGTCACGAGGCAGATTTCGACCAAGAAGTGAGCATTATGTCAACATTCAACCACCAGAACATCCTACAATTGATGGGAGTCGTCATCAAAGGTGAGTTCTCATTGATTTTAATTCTCCAAGACTTTTTTTTTAAATTTTTTTTAGAATCAGTGGCGTGCACAAACTTGAAGCAGTAAAGAAAACAGTGGAAATGAAAATATGACCACCGAAGCCGACGTCTTC